AGTGTTGGGAGGGGTGGGGTTGTTGGCAGGGATGGGGGGTGGCAGGGAGGAGCAGGAGGTTTTGGGAGCTATGGGGGGACATTATTGCCAGTGAGTGCTGCTCCCGCCGGTATGAATAGAGGTGTGTGCAGCTCGTGCTGTGTGTGGCTGTCCCTTTGCGCGGCTCGCTGGATCGTTAAAAAGCACAAGAAAAACATGACATTCCCCATGTACAGCCCCTACCAAAACAGCACGCCCGTCCTGGAGGCAGCCTCAAGGCCCTACTGCAAGACTGACCATTCACCGAGCTGGGCAGACGATGGAAATGCCCTTCGACAAACTATGCCCTTCGACAAACAAAAAATGAAAACATTTTGTTCCAAAAATATCCAAAGAGGATGTTTCAGCATTGTGAGAACTCCCCTTGTGTATGAATACAGTAGCTACATCAGTATTTGTGCCTCAGTGCACATAAAAATGTATTCCACGCATGGATAGAATAAATCCACACATGGATGGAAAAGATTAGAGCTGTGTTGGTAGATTTGTTATATAGACCCTCGGCTAAATCTAAAGCAGCTAATATTGTCCCTATTCTTAAGAAAGGGGGAAAGAAAGTTATCTGGGAAATCACAGGCCTGATAGGTTGATTACAATTGTTTGCAAGGTCTTGGAACAAATTTGGAAAGAGAAAGTCCATGATGAATCTCTCTAGCCCAGTACTCTCTGATCCAGCAATATCCATGGTCTGGCATGATGTTAGTGAGCCAGAAGTCCACTTAGCGTGAGCGTGGCCAAGTTTCCCATGGTCCCACAAAGTTTGTTTACAGCCACCAGGTCTGGCTCTCCAGGTTCTGGGCTGTTATTTAGCTCTGATTTACCCCTCAATGTCTTCTAGGACCCCAGCAAGCAGTGGACGTGTTGGTAACGCTGCGAGACCATATTGACCTCTCATGGTTTGGCAAATTGTTGGTTCAGCACCAGTCAGGTCCCAAGGGTGTGGACTAGAGAGGTTCAGCCTATTGTTACAGACATCCAGGTGAGTGGTGCCGGGGATAAAATACAATGTGGTTTTACAAAAGGCAGCACGTGACAGACCAACCTGCTCTTTTCTGAGAAGACGACTGATTTTTAGACAGGAAATGCAGCAGATCTAACCTCTCTGATTTCTCTAAGGCACTTGATACAGCAAGAATTTTGTTGCTAGAAGCTGAGAATTTATCAATTGGAAGTGACAGAAAGACAGACTTGGGTATGTTGGTTGATCGCACGGTGACTATGAGCCATCCATGTGGCCATGAAGAACGCTAATGTAGCTCTAAGATACATCAGGTGAGGGATTTCCAGTAGAGATGGCGAAGTGTTGGCACCGGGCGTGCTTCTCTGGCCCACTGTGTGCAGTGCAGGGGAATTCAAACAGAGCAGAGCAGAGCAGAGAAGTGCTCCTACGAAAGAGAAGCTAACACCAGAGGAGCTCAGTTTGTTTGGCCCAACCAAGGAAGGCAGAGGCGGATTGGACTGTTCTCTTCAATTACATCAGAGGGATAAATACCCCGGGGAGGCGGGGGAGTTATTTAAATACGGCGCCAATGCTGACACAAGAACAAATGGGTCTAGACTGGCCTCCCACACGTTTAGGCTTGAAATGCAGGTTTCCAAACATCCGAGGAGAAGAGCCCCGGAAGAGCCTTCCGAGGGAAGCTCGATATGTTTATGGAAGGGATGGGATGGAGAGGCTGCCCACTGCGGGGATGGGGAACTTATAGTCCAAGGGCCAAAGCCGGTCACGGCTTGTCTTGATCTGGCCCATGAGGCTCAGAGCTCCCCCCTCCTGCACTGGGGCGAGCCAACGCTGGGGCTCCAGCAACATGGAGTGTCTCCGAGGCTCCTGCAGCAGGGAAGCTCCGCCCCTGCGCTGCTTGCAGGCTCCATCCCCATTGGCCAGGAATTGCAGCCAATGGGAGCAGTGGTAAGGGATGGTACCTGTGAGTCCAGTGGCATGGAGCCAAGTGGGCGCCCCCCCCCCGGGGGCTGTGCCAAGTAGGTGCCCCAATCCCTTGCCCCTCCTGCCCAGACTCCAGAAATCAGACCCAGGAAGGTGCTTCTTGCTACTGGGCACCTCAGTAAGGTGCTTTCCTGCCGGAGCATGTCTCTGCAAAAGCCTGGGATGGAACAGCTGAACCAGGCAAATTTACTCGTAGACGGTTTATTGGAGATGCAAAGGGCACCCGGGCGCAAGGAAAACCAGGGACTACTCCCAGGAGCGAGAAAAGAGGGCAGCAGCCAGGGAACACGCCCAAGCTAGTTCTTGCCACAGGGGAAGGTGGCGTTGATTTTCCTGCAGTAGCAAAAGGCATTGAAGAAGCGGCAGTAGCAGGTAGCACACGGGTCGCAGCAGGGGAGCTGGTGCCCGAGGCAGGATTCCAGCAGGCGGACGCACCGGCGTGGGGAGCGCTCCTCCCGGTCCGTGGTCTCCAGAGCTGCGGACAGCACCTGCAGGGGGAGTTCTTGCCACAGGGGAAGGTGGCGTTGATTTTCCTGCAGTAGCAAAAGGCATTGAAGAAGCGGCAGTAGCAGGTAGCACACGGGTCGCAGCAGGGGAGCTGGTGCCCGAGGCAGGATTCCAGCAGGCGGACGCACCGGCGTGGGGAGCGCTCCTCCCGGTCCGTGGTCTCCAGAGCTGCGGACAGCACCTGCAGGGGGTGCAGAACGACAGGGCGTTCATACAGGCCGATGGGGGGGGAGCCAACGTCTGGTTTTTAAAGAGACACTCCCATTTTTAAGCCCGCATGCCGGTGTCCCGACTTTCGCCTCTGCCGCCCACCCGCCGGTTCTTTATGTGCCCCGCTCTTGCTGTCTCTCACTGCTGTGCCTCCTCCCCCCACTGCTCCTCCATACACCTCTCTGCAGAGTGCACCCTTTCCCGCAACCCAGTGTGCCCCCTGTGTGTTGCCCCGGGAGGATGTAGCTCCAGGTACCCCAGGTGAGTGTGTGTGTGTGTGTGTGTGTGTGTGTGTGTGTGTGTGTGTCCTTCTCCCTGTGCAAACCCTAGAACCTTAAAGACAAGAAGGCAAATGAAAAGAACCCAGCTTTGCAGTATTGATGCTTAACAGGGGCTCAGTCAACTTGGTGAGCGGAACGTTTGTGCTGCGCAGAAGGGGCAGGACGAGCCTTTGCTGGGCCTGCGCTGAGTTGGGATTGCTTTACGGGGCCACTTGGGCTCCAGCCCATCCCCAGAAAGGGACGTGACACGTGCAAAGGGGTAGTTGCCGCGGCGTCTGGCAATTTAAAGGGGCCCAGGGCTCCTGGCCGCTGCTACTGCAGCAGCCAAAGCTCCGGGCCCCTTTAAATCACCGCCAGAGTGCCACGCCATGCGCTCCATGCGGCTCTTAGGGCTGGAGAAGGGGCGGGCTGCACGCTGAGCAGCGCTGACGGCTGGCAGCAGGCCCCGCCCCTTCCACATGTGGCCCCCGCCCCTTCTGCAAGCGAGGAGCCACCTTCCCCAGAGGCCTGGCAGGTCTGTCGGCCCCCTGCAGAGGTGTATGCCAGAACTGGGTCTGTGGGAGAGGAGAATTCCCTAGTGATGCTATCCCCTTCCAGAGGCCCAGCTGCTCTGCCAGGGGGTGCCCCCATGTCTCAGGGGGTGGGGTTACACAATACACAACCCTGGTGAGTCCAGGCCCTGCGTCCTCAGCAGCAAGTGCGTCTGGTGACATTTGGCGACAGCGTCAGGTCATAGGTTTGTCATGCAGTCACCATGGAAGCAGCCAGCGCCCCGCCCCTGCAATAGCCTTGGGACTGCTTGTCTTGCGACTGATTTCAATGTCTTTCGCACTGTCCTCGCACTCCAGCTGCCAGTGTGTGGCGGAGCCTTGCATTGCCAGCCCCTCACCCAGCTCAGCAGCTGCCGGGCATGGGAGAGCTGCGGGTGTTGGCATCCGGGCCCGACTAGAGAGATCAGGCCCGGGGGCTCCAGGAGAACGTAGGAAGTCGCTTGCTGGATGTGCCCACGGAAACGATCAGCAGTGGACCAGCGGCCAGGCCTGACTCTGAAATTGTCGTCGTTGGGGATGAGCACACCAGCGAGAGGACTGGTTCAGCCCCCCCTCGCCTCCTGCCTCAGGCTCTCTGCAAACCCAGGCAGACCACACTGCATCCGGATCGCTGCGCCCGATTTTTCTCCCTCCCCCCCATGACGAGCCTCAGCTTCGAGAGCACAAAAGTGCCACAAGAAGCGACTTCCCCAGGGTCAAGCGCAGGCCGAGGCTCCACGGGGGCTGAGGAATTTGTGGCATGTCCCACAACACGTCTCGTCGGGGAGAGGATGTGAGCGACCCCCAGGGGTCCCAGGAAGTTACCTCTGGCTCGAGGACACTGGCTTCCTGCATGAGGTCCTCGTCTGCTACGCGCAGCTCCACCGCCATCCTGTCAAAGCCAGGCCGGGGGCGAATCCCTGTGGAGCACAGACATGGTGATGGCTCACTCTGCCCCCCCCCACCCACTTCTCGACAGTCCAGAGTGGAGGGGCACTGGGGGAGGCAATAATTTTAGATGGGGGGGGCAACTTCAGAAATGTTTGAAGTGGCCCTAGGCCCCCCTAGAAGGGGTGGGGCCTTGGGCGGAAAGGGGCGGGGCCAGGACACAGATCGATTGGCCTGGGGGAGGGGGAGTGCATGAGTGCAGCATCAGGGGAACCCCGAATGCCTTGTCACAGCAGGTCTCATCCTACACAAAGGGAGGGTGTGGCTGCCCGAATTCACTTGCAAGCAATAAGAATAGTCCTCAAGCAGGAAGGGAAAACAAAGGACGCTCAGCGCAGTAACACCCAGTTCCCTCTGGGCGCCATGCCCCCCGGTGGGGAGAGGAGACTTTGCTGGCTCCCCGAGCCCCAAGTCTCAATTGGCCGGGGGGGGGAGAAGTGGCAGGGTGTCTGCAGGCAGCATCTGGCCCACAGAGGC